TTAAAAAAATATTCGATTCTGATCGACAGATTGCAAGATAATTGCACAAATACTCTTTGATATAAAGCGAATAATTTTTATGTTGACCTCCACCACTTACCCTCCCGACCGTTAAAGCTACTTTACTTTTTTTTTTTTAGAATTTAAATAGATGAAAATATGTCATATTGAAATAAAGTTAATAACTAGTAATATTTGTAATAAAATTTTACTATTAGTAAATTTTAACAAATTCTAACTTCGCCAGAATATCTCACTCTCCCTTATCCTGTAAAGATTATAAACAAATCATTAATAGTAATAAATGTCTAAACTTAGTCAATACAAGTCAATACAGTATTAACCTTTAAACTTGATTTAAATTTAACTTTTCAAGAGCATCAAGAATTTTGTTAAGTTTTTCTTCATAGTTATCAATTTTAATTGCGGTTTCTTTAGCTTGTATTTCAATTGGTTTTTCAACTTGTGAAATTTGAAGAATTGAGTCAGACAAATGCGGAGGGAACGTATATTCGTTTTCACCTTGTACTATTTTAACAAAATTTTGAAGTTCTTCAATCGAAGCTTCATAGTATCTAAAATATTTAAAACAATTAATTAAAAGTTTTTTTAAAAAAAATTTTTTTGAGTAATAATTACAAAATATCGGGGAACCAATCTTTCTTTCTTCTTTGATAGGGTAGCATCCAAAAAAGTTCGATTTCAGCCAAGATCTGGAAAAAAATAAAATAAAAGCTTTTATTTTTAATATTTTAATAAAGAATATTAAGCACAAAAAAAAAATTTTTTTTTTGACAATACCTCTCCTTTTAATTGAAGAAATGATTCAACGTTATTCGTTTCATCAATTGCCATACCAAGTAATCCAATAAACAAATTCATCAGATAAATTGTTGTAAAAAAAGAAAATATTCCCAACAAAAAGACTAATGTCCAATTATCTTTCCAAACCCAAGACGAAATTGAACTTGAATCTCCTAATAAAATTATTTGATTTTTTAAGCGATATAAAATATTAAATATATATATCTATAATAAAATAAAAATAATAATACCTGTTAACATCAAATAAACAGCAACAATAGCAGTACTAAATAGAGCAAACATATTTATGTTTGCATCTGGAGTTGCAATAAGAGATGATTCATTTTCAATTGTACCGTTAGGTAGGATAGTTTGATATCTTGTAGCAAGATTCCAAGGATTATTAACATCATCAGTATAACTTGGTTGGTCATAAGAATAATCTGAATTGGGCCTTAATAAGATATGCAAAGAATGTGCAAAGGCCAAAACAATAATTCCTAAAACCGCAATAAATGAAAAAATTCGTTTTGCCACGCCAATC